TGAGTACATGCAATGTAGGTTTAGTAATTTGAGATATCAGAGTGATGAAATTTCTTTAGATGGTGTGATGATTATGGCTTCTAAGAAATTTAGGTACCTTGGGTCCATAGTGCAGTGTGAAGGGGATATAGATGAGGATATTAGACATAGGATTAAGACGGGGTGGGTTAAGTGGAAGAATGCCACGGGAGTTTTATGTGATGATAAGATGCCTATTAAGTTGAAAAGAAAATTCTATAGGACATCAATTCGCCCAGCTATGTTAAATGGTAGTGAATGTTAGGCCATTAAGAGACAACAAATATACAAGATGAGTGTGGCGGAGATGCGTATGTTAAGATAGATGAGTGACCATATGAGGATGGATCGCATACGGAATGAAGTTATTCGTAGTAAAGTAGGTGTAGCACTAATAGAAGATAAGGTGCGGGAAAACAGTCTAAGGTGGTACGGGCATGTACAACGTAGATCGTTTGATGCACGTGATCGTGCTTGGGAGAACATCCAAATACCTAGTACTAGGAGAGCGAGGGGTAGACCAAGAATTACTTGGGCCGACGTAGTTAGGTACGACTTTTAAGATCTAGGACTTCAGGAACGAGAAATCCATATAGCCGACCCCAATTAATTTGGGATTAAAGCTTGTATTTGTTGTTGTTGTTGTTTAGATTTCCTGTTGCTATTGTCTTAAAAACCTGTAGGCTAGAAGGCAAAATAATTATTTGATGACAAACATAGCAATATTGGAGATAAACCTCATTCAATCACTAAAAAATAGGAATTAATCAGAGAGAAATTACAAATGACACTATTAGCGGTATTAAAGACCGAAAATACATGAACTGAACCTACTTCAAGGGAGGTCTCTGGTAAGTATCCGAGATGCTTTTGAGCTGCAGAACAGTTGAAAGTTCTAGAGCATAAGGCTAGTTGGATATAGTGAAATGCAGAATGGCTGCATTTCAAGAAGCCCCACTTTCTCTGCGTCCATTTGATGGACAAGACAATAAGGGAAACCATCGTTGCAGGAAGTTTAATTAATGGTCTGCAGCCAAAACAAATTAGAAAATGGAACCTTACAGTATAAGCATTAGTAATCACAACAAGATGTTTTAATTTTTAACACTGAATTACACAATTAGGTAGCCTTCATAGAACTAAAGTGTTCAAATGAATAATGTCATCATCCAAATTAGTTTGCAACTCGGTGCCGATAGTGCAACACATTATCAACTAACCGATAAACAGTCTGTCACAGAAAAATACAGGAATGCTTACCGTTTATATCCTAAGCCTTCAAAAATAAGCGATAAGAAGTTCCAGAACTTCATAGGATGAAGGTCAGAGATGAAAAATGCCTACAAGTTGAAATCATGGGAATAGTTACATTCAGACCCATTGACAAAATAATAAAGTAATAAAGGGTAAAATTCACTTATCCCCCTAGACTTCTCATGTTTTGTCACTTAAGCCCCTGGACTAGAAAACTTAACACTTAACCATTTCAACCTCAAATTTGTTGCTATTTTACCGACAATTCAAACAGGTTTCCAAATTTGTAAATGTAAGTGGCGCCATGTGTAACAGCATCACATGGCTGCTTTTAGGAGCAAGAGTGAAAAAGTAAGAAAAGTAGTTGGTTGATCATTCAAACCCCCTTTGCTGGCAAGATTTTCCAGAGTAGAGCTCTTTTCCCTCAAACTGCAACTTGTCTTCCTACTTGTACCATCAAAATGGCGGCCCAAGCTGGTCTCCTAGAGACATATATTGGTCCTTTCCTTGTAGCTAATAAGCCATTTTGCAACCAATTTACTGTACAAAATAAGATGGTTATTTGTCCTGCACAATGGTTTTGGACATGTGAAGTTCCAAGGCATGTGTTTAAACTATTAAATATCTTCAAGAAGAAAAGGGCATTGCTTAAGCGAGCTAAGCATGTTTGGGTGCAACGGTTCTATTATAAAGCCACTGGTCAATGGAATCAGCAAGCTAAGCAACTAAGGCGTAGAGGCGAGCTGCTCATCATGTTCTAGTCCCTTATTGTTGTTAATAGTAAAAACTTCAAAGCCCTTTACAGAGCAAGTGAAAATGGAGAAAGACTGTTATAGTCAACCCAAACATTTTGTTTTTTTTTTTTTTTTCACTCTTTTCCCATAAAAGTAGTCACGTGCTTAGCATGAGGAACTTCTGTTTCTAAAATTGGACGGCTGTTTGAATTGTAAGTAAATTGACAACAAATTTACAGCGGAGATGTATACGTGTTAACTTTTCTAGTCTAGGGGGTTAAGTGAAAAAACATGTTAAATCTAGGGTGTAAAGTAGGCTTATAACCCAAAAATACAAACGCGTTAACTATCTATTCACACTCAACTGCAGAGTACCTTTCCAGCAACTGAGGCCATCCGAAAATCTAGAGCTTCCTCTGCACAAATGTGGGCATGAGATACATTCTCAACATAGGCAAAGTCTGACATGTTTTCACCACTCCCTATAATAAACTGAAATGAGAATCTCTGTTACTTTAGAAAAAGAAAAATATTTTTTTTCTTTTTCAAGGGCACATAAATCAAGTAATTGAATACGGAACATCTGGACATACAGAAAAGAATGGCAAACAATATAACGAATAAGAAAACCATCTATAACATATTCAGGAATTCTCCATTTAGGTTGCTAATCAAATAGAAATCAAGCAAATTTAAACAAAAAGGTAGAGAGTGTATATTAAATGATAAAATGTTGAAAAGGAAAATTATTACATGTAGTATTTAATTATATCCAAATAGTCATCAAATTGTATAGAGAATGGAAGGGAAAAGTTCTTTTCAAACCTTTGTCAAACCGGATCTTGCCAAGTTCACAAAAAACGGCACAAATTTTAAGTCCCCAGGTCCAAATACATTGCAAGGACGAATTGCACATGTTAAAAGGCCATCAATATCATTTGCGAACAGAATAAGTGCTTCTGCTTGAGCCTTAAGATCATTCAAAATGCTCTGAAACTGCATGAAGTAGAATATAGACATATCAACGTGAAATCTTAGCAAACATTAATTGTACATTACACACACACACACACACAACCCCAAAAAAAAAATACTAAAGACCGTTGCTATGACTTACTTTCCAAGGGTATGGCAATGATTCATCTCCATTTATTATATCATGTGTTCCATCAAAAACCACATCCGCAGAACTATTGTATATGAGCCTTCTAACTTTGCCCTCTCGACAAGCATTGACAACATTTTTTGCACCTGAAAGACCAAGATCCAAACAATCATCAGTTTGTTCAAAATGTTTTGCTTCCAATTGATATGGATATTTAAGGTCTACCTTGAACAAGAATCATGTAGCAATGATAAAAGTCGTTATCCTTTAGATCAGTGTCATCCATGTAGAACACAACAGAAGAACCTTCAACAGCTGCAAAAGGTGTATATTTTCCCTTCCACTATTAGTTTATGAATCCCAGTTCAGTATCACATATAAACATTAATAGAAACAAAATATCCATGGAAAAAAATGTATACTTTGTTACAAAGTAATCGTTGGTGCAGTCTCTCTTTTATAAATATATGATATGATATGATATATGACATGTGATATATGATATATGATACGATATGATATATCATCTTGTTCTTGAAACATTACTTGGGGAAAGCAAATGTTGTTTTCTCTTCAGTTCACCTTAGAAGACTAACTATACTTGAGAAACAGAAATTTATTTTCATTCTACTGTTATATATGGTACAATCTTCAAGTAGTAATTTGAAATTTTTACATATTTGAAAATTTCAGTCATGCATTTCCTTTTCTGCACTTCCTCATGGGGAATGAAAACTGAAAATCAGAGTTCATAATTCAATAATAACTGTTAAAACAATGAGCCATACTCCTCAATTTAATTTCCAACTAAAACAAACTAATATCAATAAGAGAAAGTTAAAAATATTTGTCTCCAAATTATAAGAGCGTATCCTTTTTTGTTTCGGTTTTCCCCTTTCCTCTTCACTTATTCATGCAAGAACTTGAAATTAAAAAAAAAATACAAGGAAAAAAGGTGTTGAAAATCCCCGTTGGTATTCAAACTAAAATAGCAAAAACAATAAGACATTATGAACTTCAATTTCCAATTAAAGCGAACAAACAAACAGATCAGTCAATTAAAGCCATTTCAGAGAGTTTCATTTCCCAGTTATGATAACTTATCCTTGTTGTTTTCATTTTTTGTAGAACTTTAAATAAAATTTAAAAGACAAAAAAAAATAAGTTTAAAAAAATTTGCAATGCATTTTCATCATCAAAG